ATAATCTTAACTTAACAATGAAGGGACGAAATTTTCCATCAATTACAGAAATATGTATATGCATGATCTAAGAAAGCTAGAGAAAAATAGTGATGAAACTTCATAAAACATTAAATGTATTATCCATTCAACCGTTATTCACGGGCATATTTGTCAAAAATAATTTTTACGATAAAGATGAAGACTACCATTCCTTAGTCCTCTTTTGTTAAAAAAAAAGCTTCTGTTTTTTTTATAAAAAAAAGAAAATATGCTTCTTCGCAAAAGTTTATATTATCTTTAAATACCGGAAAAATCATAAAAAATATTTTGCAAACAGTTTGCTACTTAGTTTCAAATGAAAATTTGACGATTGAGAGATCAAAAATAATGGAACAACGGGTCAGGATGATAATAAGTCTCTTAAAATTAGACGTATTCGTAATATAAATTTGAACACACTCTCACTGACTGAAGAATATTTTCTAAGTCGAGAATGGAACGTTTGCGTTGAAAGTAAACCTAATTTGATTGGTTTTAAGATCTGCGATGACAGCAAACGAGCGCAGTGCTTACCTTCTTTCTCGGTAATGTTGCTTTGATGAGCTACTTCACATTTAATACGCACTTATATAAGAGAGAGGAGAAGAGAGAAAGATGAACAAATGAAAATCTAAAAAGAAATAATGAAGAGGAAAGAGAAAAGAAAGATTGACGGGATGTGATTTCAACATCGGTACACTGATATTGAATTGAACAGTGAGAAGATTAAACCTTCATGTCGTTCTAACTCCTTTAGTAAAACATGTCGAAAAATACATGATTTTGCAAAAGTATTAATGAGATCTAAGAAAAAGAAAAAGAAAAAGATTACATATCAGTAATGAAAGAATTAATAGTACAAAAACATTAAAGAAAAATCACAATATCATAATTTGCCACGTTGATAAAGAAAATTACATAGTTGTTGATGACAAAGAAAGGTAGATTGGCCAAGAAGAAGAAATCTTACGGATGAAAAGAATTTCAACACACTGATATCTCATTATTGAATGAAAAGGAAAATTTATAAATAGCTATCATTTTCATGCCAACGTCTTGCTGCACCAAGACTGTCAACATATGCATCAGTAAATACTATTTTTCATTTAAAAGACATAAATATACTACGTCACAGAAAGCAATATGACATCATCAGTTGAAAAAGACTTTCGCATTGATACGATAATGACTGTAATTATGATCCACATGCGTATGCTCATCATCTTGGATCTCTACTCGGTCCTCTTTATCATTGACATAGTCGTGATGATGCAAGTTGTGGTTATAGGTATCTATGGATGGAAATATGACGCGAGGAGCTTCGTCAACGGCAAAGCCAACTTTGCAGAAATCTAATCAAAAGACAAGGACGACTTTTAAGTTTCCTATCAGATGGCCAAAGATACACTCGAAAAACTGCCAATCAGGAATTTTTTCTAGGGGGATCGGTCTTCCTAAATGTGCAGATACCATAGTGAAGAAAACGTTTTCCTTTCACGAAAAATTTTTGCCGTACTCTCTCCAAGCACTCTTCTCGCTCAGAGGGCATTGATCCTCCAATTCTCTCACCCTCTGAGCACGTCAGTTTGGTGTATTTTACCATTATAATGATATGTCGATCATTTAATAAACAAAAAGTTTCTACACAATGGTATTCTTCAAGAAATTCAGAAAGATTTTACTTACACAACAATCCGTGATAAATCGAGGAAGCTAATTTCATGCATAGAAATCGATATTTGTTGTTTTTTTAATATTTTTGATGAGTATGCAATTGCATTTGTATTCATTGATAGGATTTCAAGGTGTTAGCTGAAGCACTAATAACAGAATATACAGAATGCAAATTTAGTTGCTACTTTTCGTTAAATTTTTTCTCCAAGCGAACGCCATCTCACCGCATTTTTATACTAAGACCCTCTGTTACCATCGATAATGTTATTTTTTTTGTTGTTGGAAAGAACTTCTTGTCATAGACCGAATCTCATTCTTTAAGCTGACAATCTAGATGATGCTTGGAAATGAGTTGACACTGAAAATTGTATACACAAAGCGCAGCAGACAGTTGCGGATTAATTTTTTCTATAATTTGTTGTTTTGATGTGAACTTCTGTAACTAATAAAGCGTTCACTGTAAATTGAAGGAAGTAAACGAAGAACGAGTGCCAACAAGATACATTATAGAGATCTATCAAAAATGATCAAAACGAAAATCAATAATTAAGAAAATGGTCACGATAAAAATGAGGTGAGATAGCTGTGGTTCTAGCATAACATGTCATTTTAAGGAGATCACTATCGATATTGAAAAAATTCAAAAAACAAATAGTATTTATAAATATTAATCGATTAGGAAACAGATAGTTTTGATTTCGCGTATATTTCGAAAGCAAAGTAAATCAATAGCCACTTCCCCCCATGACCCTATGATAAAACGTCCTACACATCGGTATTTATCAGAGGAAGAAAACCTTTCTTGAATACAGTTATTAACAATTTAATATTTCTGTTTATCATTGAAGTAGAATACATACTTAATGATATTGTGAAAGATAACATAAATGACTCTTGGCAGAAAAGAAAGGAAAGTCTAATTTTTCGAACATGAACCTTCTCAAAGAATAGAAAACAAATCGTTTTCTAGATGCACCAATTATATCATGTTTTGTGGGTGTGGGTGCGGGTGGAGGGTGTGGGGGTGTGGGTCTGGGTCTGGGTGTGGGTATGGGGNAATATTTCAACGCTTTTCTATGTCAAAACCCATTTAGTAGGTTAACGTCGTACGACTACGTTTTCTTTCCAGTTATTCATAATTTTTTGAAGACGTAGCTTGATTTCATATTCTAGCTATCACAACATATGAAATTTTGACATAAAAAAGCGTTGAAATATTTTACAGATTGACTAAGAAAAATGCATTTGGATGATAGAAAATGTTGCATTTTAGATGCATAGGAAGGTGTCTTGCTGTTATCTGATTATTGGGAAAACTATAGACTCTAAAGATTGAACGGTTCTGACATTGGAAGAATTCTTAAGTTGTTTTAATTTCGCTTTATAAATAAATCATTCAAAAGAGTTTATTAGCCTCACAAACCCAATTATATGTTCTTTTTAGGAATTATCAACATCATAAATCCTTCAATATACTCTTTTAATTCATAAAACTTGATAAGAGTTTGTTATACGCTGCACTTTCATAAATCTTATATGGTATACGAGCATTCTTATATCTTTTTAAAAGTCTATCGGGTTGATAAATTCTTGTAAAGAACATTTTTTATTTTAATATTTCTTGTGAATGGAGATACCAACCACTGCTCTCTAGTAGGATTTATCAAACTCATGCATCTTTAAAAGATTATTCAAATACTCGCTTACCCTGAAGAATTTATGAAAGTACAACGTATTAAACACTCTAGCCGAGTTTCATGAATTAAAAGAGTATATTGAACGATTTATGATACTATAATCCATAAAAATGGGTTTTTGAAGTTAATAAACTCGTTTGATTGACTTATTATTCTATACTAATCATTTTCAGTATTGGAAACGATAGAAATAAACTCTAGTAGTTGATAGACATATATGAAGGTAACTTGCAAGTATTAAAAATAAACGTGACCAAATTATTCAACATTTCTTATGACTTCAGAAGTTTTTAATCAGATAGATTATTCAGTACCTAATCATTTGTTTCAACAAGATGCTCTTTTGGGGTTTGTTGTAGCAAGACATAGCTGAGAACTTGCTACAGTTCATCACATCTAAACGATGAGAAAAGCCGAATTCTTTATTCATGGTATATACATAGAAGTAAACACTATAGTCAATCGTCTGTATTACTCTTGTATATGACCCTTTGTAGATCCAATCAATGGTAACACTTCTTTCGAAACGAAACTTACTAAAACTATATACATTCTATTGTTAGTCTGTGGTTTTCTCAGAGGAATACGAAAACAGTCTAAAAATATTATTTCACTCACACAGAAAATATTACAATAGACTAGACGAAGATTTTTGAAGATTTCTCCAGTCTAGCTAGAAAAAAAAAAAGCGCATTTTGACTCGTTTTAGCAACATATATAAATAAAATTGAAATACAGTGTGATGAGTTTCATAGACTCATTGCGATAAAACTCTTTGATTGGTATATGAATCAGATTGTCTTTCGTCGTCATCCCAAAATAAACGCGTTTTGATGCGTTCACAATATGCTTTACTTCCAAAGACGCGTCAAAAATACATTTCATGATTACATAGGAAATACCAAAATCCGCGAGTACTTTGTTTTCTCTCATGCAATATTTCTTTTTTCAAAGTTCTTTATCAATATTTTTGTGGAATAGTTTAACCACATACATTATTACAATACTGTACCAAACACATTTCAATATTCAGTAGATTTTCATGTCAGAAACATAACAGAAATAGAGGACAGAGTAAAGCGTTTCGTCTCGTTAGATTTCGAACCGTTCTTTTTATGGATATCAATAAGTAAATTATTTTTGTTTCAGATCAAAAAATTGTTCATTTTTCGTAAGTATATCCAAGTAAATTAGCAGTTGTATCTTTATATATATTACCAATAAATCAGTGGCATGGATAAAATGTTGAATGACACTACTTTTAATAACGATTTGTTGAAAGAAACTACGAAGGACATCATCGAAATCTTAAAAGTCAATCACCATGAAAACAAAGAACAAATTGTTGATGATATATTGAGGAATGGTTAACAGTCATTGGTCAAATATAGAGATGATATTATATCCAAAGTCTACAACGAAGCAATGAGGGATAGTGATAGCAAGTTTATTATTTTATTAAAAAATTATTTTCAAAAGAAATGGGAAATGGAATACGACACATCTCATGAGTGGCTTATTTCATTCTTCAAACAATATGAAAACATGGGCAATCACAATTCATATGAACGTGTTTTGATTTGAACATCTAAATATGGAAACAAATATATGAAGGATTATCCAGTATTATCAATTGTTTTACAAATTCTTTTTGAAGGTATTGACGATGAATGTTTAAAGGAAACGAATATTTTTGATGATCTATGGTTCGCAATAACTAATGACGGTTTGAAATCAATTACTAAATATTCTGAATATATCAGTAAAAATTCCATGAGTCAACAATTGAAAAGTCAATCAATATTATTTCGAGCATTATCGGAACATTACCGTGAAAATGTATTTTTATCATTAAAAGAAAGCAAAATTGTAGACGATGGAAATTTATATAAATTAACATTAGACGATGTTACTGAACACGGCTGGTTGACGGATATACAATCTATCAAAGATGATGTCGCACCACGATCATACAATATGCTATTGGAAAAACTTCATTCTTTCCATAAGAAGACAGAATTGTCACAACATGAACAATCGAAGCCAACACAAGGTGCTCAGAGAACTGAATTAGTACGACCAGAGCTAGCATCTATGGGAGAACAATAACACAAATGAAAGTAATTTCACTCTGATGTATAACTATGCTAAGATGTTGTCAAACAAAGTTCTTATGATCACTCGCAAAAAAAAAGCTTGTTAGCGCAGCTCCTGTGGAGCTAAAATGTGGAACTCACGTATACGTGTAGGTTTGTTACCTGACGGATCATCTGTATACTGAAAGACTTCTTGTCAACTATAGTTGTTTTCATTGAAAATCGATGAAAAGAGCTGGAATTTATTATTTATTTGTATATTAAAAAATATATTAAAAAACGAAAATATTATTTTTTCATTTAAGCGCGCTCAATTTCATTTATAATTATTGCTATACACTCAATAATAATCATTTTTTTTTTGTTTTTTAATTTGAAATTAGTTTTTTGCACCATCAACTATTTAATGAATAGAACTATTAGAATAATGTAGGTTATATGTATTAACAACTCTTACATTAGCTTATGTCTCAATTAATCCATAATGCCGATATTGTCTATCATTCACACTGATAAAAAGATCGAATCATACATCTCATATTAATTATATGACTGCTATAACAGATATATATATATTATAACTTTGCCTCCTTGATTTTTAACACGCAGGGTCAAATTAAAAGAAAGATCCACGACTACATTATTACGAACTTTAATAAGTATATAAGTGTTTTTTAAGTATGAAAGTATTGAGATATTATATAGCAGTCGACCTGATCTTCATAATATTGTTTAACTTGCTTCTTTTTATTGCTAAGTAAATCTGCAGCGTTTTATGCGCGGTTGTTGCAGTCTGTAAGGGGGGGGG